AAAGTAAGCTGCCAAGTCTGGGACTTGAACTGTGGTCGGCCATGTGGGAGTTCAGCTTCTTCAACCACCATGCCACCTGCCAGCCCCAGTTCTTTACTATTAAAGACCCATTGGCATCTCAATAAGTCAGGATCTTGTTTATGCAATTAAAATCCATTATTTTGATTTCAGTGTCCATTAGAGTACATTAGAGATGAAACTTTGAAAAAATTATGCAGGCATAACTTGTGTTAAGAGAGAAAACATTTTAGGTAACAGAGAAGTCAGTCATCAACTCTCTCTCACCCCATTTTGATCAGAAGCAACAAAAAACATTGTAAAGAACATGACAGTGGTTTTCAGAGCACCTGATATCTTGCTTGAAATCTCCACTGGTTCATTCCACCAAACAAAAGACCTGTGATATTGTGGAAGTCCCTCAGCTGCTCTGCATTTCTGAGCTCTGGTTTCTCTGTCTCCTGAGGATTGGTCTTGAAGGCTTGTGCCTCTTAGAGCTGTAACAGGCCAGGTGAGCATGGGCTGGCCTTGCCTCCCTTTGCCTACTTCTTACTTTATTGTCTATGGATGCTGTTGGATTATGCTTCGATTACCTGGATTTCTCACAAACCCCAAACCTAAATATCTTCCATTTTGAAACTCAAGTTATTTAAAGCAAAAGCTGACTTCCTTCTTCTCCCTCCACTCTCCTTAGACATATCGCACCTCAATTCTACACAAATTCAACCAGTCCCAACCTCTGAAGTCAAAGACCTCTGCTCAGAAGTCAGGTGTGAGAATGACGGCATCTGCACTATCCGAAACGACAAGGCCGAGTGCAGGTAAGGGGTCCTTCAGCACAGAGCTCCTTTCTTTTGTTAGAGATTTTATTCCCATAATGGAAGATGAAATACTGATAGTTCCTAAGAAAGAAATTAGTCAATTTTCATCTCAAAGCCATTTGTAATTTGTAGAATATTTCTTTAAAATTTCAAAAAAAATTTATTTATTTATTGTGTGAAAAAGAGAAAAAAGAGAGGAAGAAGGAGGGAAATGGGGACCCTCGGTAGGATTTCACCCTGCTACAGTTTTCCTCAGCCTTCTGTTTAGCCAAGATCACAGGCATGTGTGCCCAGTGTGTTCAGGCTGACTCGAGATCCAAAACCTGGCTCACCCTATAGCCCCAGCATCCCGGAACAGTATCCTAACTCCTCTGCCACCACAGCTAAACTGTGAATTTTGTTTGTTTTGTTTTCTGTTTGGGACTTTGGGTAGCCATAAGAACAACAGAATGATTAATGAAGAAAGCACATTATGTCCCAATTGCCTGAAAAAGATCACATGAGTTACATATTTTATTAAATCCTCACAATAGTCTGATGCAGTTTTTAATTTATTTATTATTATTTTTTTTAGAGCTTTTTGGTGTAGGTCATGTGCACTCACCAGAGAGACAGAGAGAGACACAGAGAGAGAAAGTGAGAAGTCACTCCCCAAGGTCATGCCACAATCCCTGCTCCTCCATTCTCCTGTCAGGATTTTGGGCATGCACGCATACGCACCCAGCATGAGTTTTAAGCCACTGGGTCTGGGACTTGAACTGTGGTCAGTCATGTCAGAGTCCAGCATCCCAACCACCATACCAGCTGCTGGCCCTTATAGTCTGATGCTTTCAAGTATGACTGACGACTTTTCTTAATGGGATACGGAAGCGCCGAGAAGGCTTTAGTCAAAAGTGTAAACACGAAAGGAGGGATGATTGGGACACTGAGAACTAAGCTCTCTCTACCACCTCTGCTCCCTTCTTTTCCAAACTGGCACTGCTGTTTTAGAAGTAATTCCATTCTTTCCACTGCTCCTGTCTGGCTCCTGTGCTAGCCTGGCGGGCTCGCTCTAGTGCAGAGTGGGGGATTTGTTCCATATGTCCAACACCTTTGATGGTGAAGATCTCCTAACTCTGAGTCCGCTCATTCAGGTGCGCATCAGGCGACGGCTGGTGGTACATGGGGGAGAGGTGTGAGAAGAGGGGCTCGACCCACGACACTGTCGTCATTGCTGTTTCTTCCACCATTGCTGTGTTCGTCCTGATGCTGATCGTCACCCTCGTCAGTGTCTATTGCGTCAGAAAGAAATATCTGAAGAGGACCAGTGAAAAGAGTGCAAATGCAACTATGGAAAATGTAAGTTCAGGCTGATATCTGGGCATTCAAACTATTGATGAAATTATAAAGAGGCATTTTTGCTACACATTTTTAAAGAAAGATTTTTGCTGTAGGAAGCATGCACTCACTGGAGAGTCAAAGAGAGACAGAGAGACAAAAAGCAAGAACAGCCCCCCCCCCCCCAAGAATGATGGCCTTGCCTCAATCCCTTCTCCTCCATTCTCTTTTCGGGATTTTGGGCACATGTGCACTTGCGCCCAGTGTGAATTTTAAGCCACCAAGCCTGAGACTGGAACCACGGTTAACTTGCTACACTTTTTAAAACTTTCTCTTTGTTTCCTATTGTGGGGACAACTGTTTTGAGACTATAAATTCCTATTACCTTCAATAGAAGTCAAAGGTTCTTAAATTAAGGTCTATGGAGACTTCTTCGGGGAGTGCATCGTCTTCCTGGAATTATAGCTATTATTGTGTGCAGCTGTGTATTTCTTTCTGGAGTGTGTGTGTGTGTGTGTGTGTGTGTGTGTGTGTTGGGGGGGGTCTTCGACCTTCTCGAGAGGTACAACTGCTTTTGGCTACAGGTTCTAATCTTTCTGGTAAATGGCAGAGGGAGCCTATAAAAGCTTTAGTTCTAAAGATCTTGCAGAAGTGACTGTGGTCGTGCCTGCAGGAAAGGGTTGCAGACATGTTTGAAAGCTTTTCCATTAAAGAAAATTCCAACTAATTCTGGCTTCATGTGGGTCAACTTACTATAAGATAATATTTTCAAGCAGAGGGTTTATAACCTTGTTTCAAAAAGGCTCTAAAATGGCCATAGTCTTGAAGCGAGACTGCCCATGGTTGGTGCTCTTGGGCAGCAAAATCTGAGATGGCTATCTGCCTGTAGAAGGTTTGCTGGGGAGCACTCCTGGAAACACTTGGACTGAAATGAGGGAAGCAGGATTTGACACAGAGGTTGCACCGTGTTGCAGTTGCAGCTGGGGCCTCAGTCTATCTTCAAGGGAGTTCTGGAGTTAGGATGGCTTCTTAGACATTTCCTGCATTGAAAGATGCTCTCTGCATTGACAGCCATTGGATTGGGGCTGCCCCTGAGGAGATGGCATAAAATTGGGCACAGATAGGGCCTTCAGGGGACAGTATTTCTTTCATGACAGCTTTCGCTTTGAAGGTCAGGACTGAGCAGTGTGCCCTAGCATCCACTATCAGGGGGAGAGAACAGAGTTTCATGTGCACATTCATACTTCTATTTATGAAAGAGTGCAAAGAAAATGATATAAAAATCTAAACATCCCTTGAAAGTGAAGTTTTAACAGTCTTCCAGTTCTATTTCTAAGTAGAGTCTCTGAAACTTGGTATAGTAAAACTAATGAAAAACATGCCTCAATGGAATACAGCCACTGCTCACTTAACAACCTACCTGACTGCTTGGCTTTATGGCCAGTTCTCTAGTGCAGGGAAGCCCTTTCTCAGTCTGTGTGTCTCGGGAATCCCCTTTCTCAGTCGTCTCATCCCCACAGTTAGTATTTACTATGCAAAGCTTTCACAATCATGTGAGACTACATATTTTGTTTATAAATTCATACTTTATTATGTTCATAGTAGTATGCAGAATAAATAAAAATGATTATGCAAGATTTATATTATTGTGTTGTGGTGTCTCTTGTTGTATGGATAAAATTACATTTTTCTAGCGTGATGTCATGTGATGTCTATTGAAAAGTACATTCCCTATGGCACCATGACACACACCACAAGACATCCACCTTCAAGATCCTTGCTTATTGACCAATTCACTTAACAACCTAGTCATAGAAATAGAACTTGGTCATTACATGTGGTGTGCCTGTATCTCTACAAATAAAAATGAGCTAAAGCAAGAATATATATCTTATCTTTTTTCTTCTTCTTTTTATTTTTTTTTCTTTTAGAGAGAGATGTTTGATAAAGGGTGTGTATGCCCACCTGGAGAGACAGACAGTGAGACAGAAAGCAAGAAATTACTCCCCGGCAGGAATGGCTCTGCCA